CCCCTCCCCCCACCAAGAATTGTCAGTCCACTCCCTTTCTATTTTAATTATGATGTGTCTTGGTGTGGTCCTCTTTGGATTCCTTTTGTTTGGGGTTCTCTGTGCTTCCTGGACTTGTAAGTCTATTTCTTTCATCAGTCATTCTTTCTTCAAATAGGTTTTCAGTATCTTGCTCTCTCTCTTCTTCTGGCACCCTCATAATTCTGATGTTGGTGTTTGAGGTTGTCCCAGAGGCTCCTTACACTATCTTCATATTTTTGGATTCTTTTTTCTTTTTGCTTCTTTGTATTTCAAATCTTTGACTTGATTCTTGCGATCCTCTAGTCTGCTGTTCAGTCTCTGTATAGTTTTTATTTCAGTCAGCGTATGATAGTGCATTTAATTTCTAGTTGGTCCTTTTTCATATCCTCGAGGGTCTCACTAAATTTATCAGCTTTTTCTAGAAAATTCTTGAAAAACCTTATAACTGGTTTTGAACTCTATATCCAGTCATTTGTTTTCCTCCATTTCTTTCGTTGTGATCTGTTTCTTTGTCTCCGTATTTTAGCTGTTTCCCTGATTTGGTAGAGTAGCTTTGTGTGGTAGGTGTCCTATTTGGCCCAGTGGCTCAGCCTCCTCCAGTTACCTGAGGTGGGCACTTTTGTTGCGCCCCTTTGTGGACCGTGTGAACAGCCTTGTTGTAATTAAGTCTTGATTGTTGTCAGTATCACTGGGAGGAAATGACCTCCAAACCAATTGTCTCTGAGGACCAGCTGTGTCTACGCTGGGAGAACTTCTGTTCTGGAGATACCCTTATGGGAAAAGACTTGCAAAAGCCCTGTGCTCAGCTTGGATGGGGCAGCGTCTCAGGGCGCCGAGGAGCAGACAACCTTGGCTTCCCATCAGCCCTGCCCTAGGGAGGCCCCTGGATCTCAGTGTCCCTTGACAATCACTGCAAGCACCTCTGAGAGAAAGCCACCCTAGAATTTCACCTGCTGCCAGACAGTCCAGTTTCTTCCTGAATGAGTCATTTCCCAGAAACTCGCCCGGAACTAGATTTCAGCATAGTCAGGAGCTTCCATCTCCCTCCCACTTTAGAAAGCCAGCCGTGCACTCAGCCACCCATCCTCTCTGCATGTGTGTTTCCGTATCTCAGCCTTTTGCAGCTCCTCTGAGTCTCAATGTGATTTCCTCTTTCCTTCTAGTTGTAGAATTTCCACTCAGCCAGCTTTCCTGTAGTTCTAGATAGTGTTAGTTTTGTCTTTTAGTTGTAGTTTTGATATTGCTGTGTGAGGCAGCAGTTCAGGTGTTTACCTATGCCATCATCTTGGTTTGTCTCCTCTCTTCATGACTTTATGACAGCCCTATCTGAGAGAGAGCCACACTGCTTCTCTCACTCTTCAGTAATTTTTTTAAATGTTTTTATTGATTTGAGAGAAAGAAAGGGAGATGAATAGAGAGATAGAAGCATCATTGAGAGAGAAATATCAATTAGCTGCCTCCTGCACGCTCCCTACCAGGGATTGAGCCTGCAACCCGGGCATATACCCTGATTGGGAATCAAACCAGTGACTTCTTGGTGCATGGGTCATCACTCAACCACATAGCCCCACGGGCCAGCCTCACTCTCCAGTCTTAAAAAGGGAAAAAGGAAAATTGACCAAGTAGAGATATGTAATTAGTTTTAAAATCGTTTAGGAAAAGCAATTGAGCCAGGTTCAATCCCGGTCAAGGGCACATGCCCAGGTTGCAGATTTGATCCTCAGTGGGGGCATGCAGGAGGCAAGCAATCAATGATTCTCTCTCAACATTGATGTTCCCATCTCTCTCTCCCTCTCCCTTCCTCTCTGAACCCAATAAAAATATATTCAAAAAAAAAAAAAAGAAGCTATAAAAATAAAAATGACTATTAAATTTTCAATGTATTTGCTCTTCAGTCCTAAACAGTTATTTTTGGACATGAGACAGCTATTCTCTCTTTCCAAACAGAAATATGTTTCAAAGGAGAAGGAATATTTTCAGTGTTTCAATCATTCTAACAATAAAGTTTCTAAAGCACGTGGAGAAATTGATGCCAAATAATACTAATTATAAGCTTGCAATGGTATTTTAAAGTGCTTAGCAATGGTACTTTAAAGTGCTATGTTCCACTCGGAATAAGTGGATTTAATGACTGCATTCCCCATTATAGTTCAAATACAGAATATGCTTGGCAATCACTGCCCAGCTGCCAATTCTATCCTCCTTCACTCATTTTCATTTCTTTTGACTCCAATACTCTGTAACTTTATGTAAACCACATCAGTCACACAAACTTCAATGACCTACCTCATCAGTGAAAGAACTAACATCACCTTTCATGCCAAGAATCAGGAGTTAAGTCAAGGTATTGTTAGATGTCCCATCCACTAAAATCTACCATCCTACTTCTGTTCATTGAATAATGTATCTTCTGAGGCTTTCTTTATCCTGTTTAGCACATATAAAGTTTCTTTTATAGCTGTCACATTTCTACTTCCTTCAGACCCCTTTACTTCACCCATTCTACTCATGCTTTTTTGTCTTGTGTGAATAGTCAACGTTTAAGGTAATCAAGAAGACAATTAGCCGAAACCGGTTTGGCTCAGCGGTAGAGCATCGGTCTGCGGATTGAAAGGTCCCAGGTTCAATTCCAGTCAAGGGCATGTACATTGGTTGCAGGCACATCCCCAGGAGGGGGTGTGCAAGAGGCAGCTGGTCGATGTTTCTCTCTCATCGACATTTCTAGCTCTCTATCTCTCTCCCTTCCTCTCTGTAAAAAATCAATAAAATATATATATATTTTTTAAAAAGAAGACAATTAGATGAACTATTACAAATGATCACAAAAGAAATGAAAACTAGAGGAGAATTACATGACAAAAACAATTTTTAAAAAAACAACTATAGCCCTGATCAATTTGGCTCAGTGGATAGAGCATCGGCCTATGGACTAAAAGGTCCCAGGTTCGATTTCAGTCAAGGGCATGTACCTTGGTTGTGGGCACATACCCAGTAGAGGGTGTGCAGGAGGCAACTGATTTCTCTCTCATCAATGTTTCTATCTCTCTCCCTTCCTCTCTGTAAAAAAAAAAAAAAAAAAAAAAAAATCAATAAAATACGGTACATATTTTTAAAAAATACTATAGTATTATGATAATAAATGTAGAAAGGAAGATAGCTGGCAAAAACTCACTATGAAAGAGACCATTACATATATATATGGTTTCTCTGGTAAAGTGCTGCCAGTCCTTGCATGACCATTCTATAATAATAGGCCCCTGGGTCATCAGCAGAGGATGGCCTCACTATGTCCACAGTCAATGGTGTGGCCAACGTGTCCTGATCTGCCAAGATTAGCACTGAAAATCCTGCGTCCTTGGAAGTATGAGTCCAGGGAAAACCAGGATGGTTACAGTCAGAACTCTATTATATTCCCCACCTTTCCACTGAGCCCAGAAGTCAGATATTACCGGAAAGTCTTCTCATCGAATTGTCTTTTTAGAGCCCAAACAGTCCTCTCTGCTATAGCTCTCCCTCCAAAGATGTTCCTCTTATTATCAACAGGAAATAAATTCAGTCTGTCCCTGGCCAAACCTGTCCCTGTTCAGTACGTACCACGCCCCTTGGCACACCAATAAATATGTCCATTATTTCTCGAAACCTATAAATCAATCAGTTCCAAAGCTTTGAGCTTGCCCTGTACAGAGCCGTATGAATACCAAAATACTCAAAGCTATGAGACTTGGGCCCCAAAATTAAAAACGCAAGTTTATTGTATATTAAAAACAGATGTCTGAGGATCGTGCTTCAGTTGTTAAGCTAACAAAACACAGCATTATGCTGAAACCGGTTTGGCTCAGTGGATAGAGCGTCGGTCTGCGGACTGAAGGCCCCGAGTTTGATTCCTGTCAAGGGCATGTACTTGGTGCAGGCATGTACCTTGGTTGCGGGCACATCCCCAGTAGGGGGTGTGCAAGAGGCAGCTGATCAATGACTCTCTCTCATCGATGTTTCTAACTCTCTATCTCTCTCCCTTCCTCTCTGTATAAAAATCAATAAAATATATTTTTTTAAAAAACAGCATTACTTAAATTCTAGAAGGTTGAGAGAAGCAGCAAAGGTTAAAAAAAATATATTTCTTGCATCAGGCATCCACAACTACAGTTTCCTAGGTTTCTGGGTCCGTATCAGGGGGAAATCTGCAAAGCTGAATTCTCACAAAAAATTGCCGAACGACGATGTCCCTTCTGAGCGCTGCTCTGTCCGGGGAGCTTCGGTGAGGACTGGCCGCCGGCGAGAAGGGCCAGGTGCAGAGGGCAGCCCTCACGGGACGGATCTCCAGCGGCGACCTGACATCTTGTCGGACCTCCCTTCGGTCATATAATGCTCCTCTGTTTTGCGTTTCTTTTGTGATCATTTTTAATAGTTCCCCTAATTGTCTTCTTGATTAGCTTAAACGTTGACTATTCATCACAAGACAAAAAAAAAAAAAGCACTGAGTAGAATGGGTGAAGTAAAGGGGTCTGAAGGAAGTAGAAACGTGACAGCTATAAAAGAAAGTTTATATGGGCTGAACAGGATCAAGAACGCCTCAGAAGGTGCCTTATCCAATGAACAGGGCGAGCGCGGGGCCGGGAGGACGCCGGGCAGCGGCGAGCGGCTCTCCCCGGGGACCGGGTGAGCCAGCGGGAAGGTGAGCCAGCGGGAGGGAGCGGGAGGGGAAGGCGAGGAGAAATCTCCGCTCTGGAAGCGGGGCCGGAGGGGTAGGTGCGGGGCGGCCTCGAACCCGGAGCCCGGGACACCGCAGTGACGGAGCGCAGAGGGGCCCCCAAAGCCTCCAGGACCGGACCCGGCAGGGGCGTCCGCTGGGACGGAGCCTGTTTCCTCCCCGTGAAACGAGCTGTGCCGCGGGGAGGAGGACGCGGGCGCACGCCGCGCGGTGGCAGCGCATTCACCCCGCCGCTGTCACGGCCGCCGTCACACAGGGGGGCCGGGCCTACCTGCCGTCCGGGGCCTCCGGGGTCTGGCTTTCGTCCGTGACGACGGGCGGCCGCGGGGGCCGGCGCTGCCGGAGTCCCGCCGCCTCGCTCATTTTGGAACTGTCACCGCCGCCCGACCGCCGGCGCCGAAACGGACAAACGCCAAAACGCCGGCTCCGAGGGCGGCCGCGCCCCGCCCCTTCCTGGCCCGCGCGCCCCAGCAGCGCCCTCTGGCCCCGCCCCTTCCTGCCTCCCGACTGTCACTCAGAGGGCTTTCCTAGGCGGCCCACATGCCGGCTACCCGCCTCCTGGGGTTTGCGGTCCAGAGGGAGCGCCTTGGCCTCCGGCTTCTGCAGTCCAAACGCCCGCCGCCGGGTGCAGCCCCTGCGCTGCCTGCTTTCAGTTCATTTCATTTCATTTCATTTCATTTCATCTCATTTCATTTTTCTGATGGTGAATGACAATAATTGTTGTGCACGTGGGCAGGGAGGTGTTGGTGGTTTGTGCTGGTAAAGAGGCTGGTGCAGCTGATGGGATGTCAAAGTCGGGGCTTCCTACAGGAGCATAAAAAGTAAGTTCATAGTTTTGGAGATGGTAGAGGCACCTCTCACAGACACCTGAGTCACTGGAGAAGGCTGTCCTCAATCTCAATTCTTGTCCTCTCATATAAATGAATTTAAATGAGAAAACGCCAGATGATTGCGATGTGGTGAAGCCAATTTTAGTAAAGCGAGAAAATTTATTACAGAAGCAAGCAAATCTAGACTTCTGGTTTATAAAGTGCATGCGGGCTCTCAGCTAATTGGAAGAGCAGTTGGGTGGGTGGCCCGAAGCGTTATAAACCTTCCCGTCTATAGGTGGCAGAGAATCCCTCTGCTGAATATTTTGGTACACATTTAATTCTCAAGGTCCCTTTTTACTTTGTTAGGGCTTTCCCAGAATTCATGAGAAGCACCTGGCAATTTTATCCTGCCAAGCCTGGAAACTGCTGCTGGCTTTTCTGCTTAGGGAGTAAAACTGCCCTTTTTCCTCTCCCTTTTCCCCTCCTTTTCTGAAGTCTCTGGCTAGAGATGCTTTCAGCCATTAGTTCTCACGTGTCCTTGGTTTGGGTAACAAGCCAGCTGCAAATTGCCCACAGTGGTTGGCCTTGTTTTAACTTTCCTGCCTCGGTTTCCCTATTCTTATCCTGAAATTTCCCTACCTTTTCACTGCCCTGTAACAGAGATACAGCAGGGCAACAGCCCTCACCTAAAAATTATACTTTGTCTGAACAGATCTGGTTAAGGGTAAAATAGACTGGAAAATGTCCTTATGGTGAATGCCACATGTTGAGCATTAAAATCTTTTTGTGATGATCACAACAGACATTTGATAAAGTTTATGAAAGAGATAAGAAAAAAATTCTAAATTAAGTTACAGCAGGAGAGTGGAAGAGACAGAACTGCTAGTCTGTGAATGGATGCTGACCAGTTAGCAAAAACACTTCTCACATTCCTGTTTTGCCTGTTGGAATTGCAGATTAAATTCCAGGTGGCTATTTCCACAGGTTATTTTAGCCAGGCACCAATAAGAAACATAAGAAACGTTCAAGTGTATAGAGATTTTTATGAGTTTATTTGAGCCAAACTGAGGACAGGTTTGGAGAGCAAAACCTCAACAGACTTGAGAAAATGCTCCAGAAAAAAAAAAAAATGATAGTTTTGCACCTTACTTTATGCATTACAATCAAAAGAAAAGATGTAAGTGGGTTACATGAAATCCATTGGTGATAGGTTAGGGAGAATGGATGGGGGAACCTCTGGGATTGGATAAAAAGTGAAATGATAGACACATACTTCTTTTACTTAGGTGGGTGCAGGATAGTCAACAGTCAACAATTAGCATAACCGAAAAAATGAGGGATTTCTGGTCTGCACTCTGCAGGTTCAGTGCCAGTGCTTTGAGGGGTCCAGCAAAAGGAAAATTACTTTGTTATTGCAAAGGCATATTGATCAAGTGCAAAGAGACAATAGGTAGTTAAGGTGAAGATTGACCTTTGTAAGAGAAAAATATTGCCTTATGACATGACTACCACCATGAACCTCTTTTAGTTAAAATGTTTTCATTTCAGCCCTGCTAAGTTTGGCTCAGTGGGTAGAGCATTGGCCTGTGGACTGAAGGATCCCAGTTTCAATTCCAGTCAAGGGCATGTACCTTGGTTGCAGGCACATCGATGTTTCTAACTCTCTATCTCTCTCCCTTCCTCTCTGTAAAGTCAGTAAAATATACTACTTTTTAAAAGAAAGTTTTCCTTTCAGAACATCCTATGTGGTTACTGTAGGTCTCTGAGTTTATAAAACTGACACACAGGCCTCCCCTGAGCTTGTCAGGTGTAGTATTTGGCCCCTTTTTTTCATTCATACATCTACCTCCAGGAGTCCCACTTGTTTCTGAGAGGGCTTTGCAGACTGCTACCCCCAGCCAGTCTACAAGAGCAGACATTTCTTTTTTTTTTTTTTTAATATATTTTATTGAGTTTTTACAGAGAGGAAGGGAGAGAGATAGAGAGCTAGAAATGTCGATGAGAGAGAAACATCGACCAGCTGCCTCTTGCACTCCCCCTACCGGGGATGTGCCCGCAACCAATGTACATGCCCTTGACCGGAATCGAACCTGGGACCTTTCAGTCTGCAGACCGACGCTTACCACTGAGCCAAACCGGCTTTGGCAAGAGCAGACATTTCTTTATTCCATCTCTGCAACCATTCCAGGACTGGCCCGTTTCACCTTCCCCAACTTCGCTGCCTATAACTCATGTGCATTCTTTCCTATTACCACTTACTTCTCCCTTCCCCCTACTTGATGTATAAAATGCTTACAAAACTCTGGGACCTCTGGGATGCTGTCTTTTCTGCTAACCATGCTTCTGGTAGTTATTAATAACAGGAAAGGAATAGAGAGAAGATAGGTGTATGCCCAATAAAGTTCAGGGGACTAGCCAAGGTGCTTACTGCCAGTCACACCTGGGAACAGAGGTCATGGTGTTATTGGAGAAATTGGGGTAAACTCTTCCTCAGTAGGTGCTGGGGCTGGGGTCCTTATGCTATCTTCAGAAAAAAAAGATTTTCTGAGACTAGCCAGGGAGGATGAGTGATCTTTGTACAGAATTAAATCTGCATCTCTAATGTCCCATTTCCCTTAGTCCAGTTACAGAAGAGGTGCAGCTGGGTTTTTGTAGAGCCAAAAGCAATGCCAGGGTCCAGAGTGTCCATTCCATGTGGCAGCCAGGTCCAGTTCAGCATCAAGTTGGTTGTAGTTCATTAGTCCAATGTATGTGTGTGGAGGTGAGCAGGAGGGGTATGGGGGGGACCACATGGCTCATGGCCACTTGGAAGAATGCCAGGAAGCAGGGGCAAGAGGGCCCTCCAAGCCAGGAGTCAAGCACAAGGCGCCAAGAGCAAGCCTTAGGGCAAACTCCTTTGTTTAGGGGAAAATATCCCAAATTTCACGTCCTTGCAGTGACCATTCTGGCCAATGACCTATTCCAGGTGGGACTGACAGGCAAGTGCCTTCCCAAGGTCATCCCAACTTTACTGGGCATGTGTCTGTTCTTCTCCTTGCCCAGGCCCTTCCCCAGGGATCTGTGGAGAATGTACTGATGGTTCCCTGGGGAGTGTAAAACTTTAGCTTCCTGGTGAGGCTGCCCAAATGGCCTCTCCCTTCCTGTTATTAATAAACTAGAGGCCTGTTGTACTATATTTGTGCAAGAATAGGCCTTCCGCCCTAACCGGTTTGGCTCAGTGGATAGAGCATCTGCCTGAGGACTCAAGGATCTCAGGTTTGATTCTGGTCAAGGGCATGTACCTTGGTTGCAGGCACATCCCCAGTAGGGAGTGTGCAGAAGGCAGCTGATCAATGTTTCTCTCTCATCAATAATTCTAACTTTTTATCCCTCTCCCTTCCTTTCTGAAAAATATCAATAAAATATATTTTTTTCAAAAAAATAAAGGAATAGGCCTTCCTTTCCCTGGCTTCACTCCCAGCCGCCCAGGATCCTGCAATTCCCCACTCCCAGCCGGAACTCCGCTCCTGCCGTTCCCTCTGCTCCACTCTCCCCCTCATAGCAGGTATCCGGCCCCATCTGGCTGCTCCCGGCCTGTGTATGCAAATTAACTCGCCATCTTTGTCATATTAATTTGCATATTCATTCCTGATTGGTTGTGGGCATAGAGGAGGTACAGTCAATTTACATGTTTGTCTATAATTAGGTAAGATAGGTTAATTACAACAGTATCAATTGGCCAAAATGGACGTGGCCACTGCAAATGCAAGATTTGGGATATTTAATTCCCTGAACAAAGAAACTCACTCTGTTATTCTCTTGTGCTCCTGAACTTTCAGGACCTTTGTTACCCTTGCGGCTTGGGGCACACCCTCCTGTATTCTCCTATGTGGCCTATGGCCATGTGGACCCCTACACCAGTGGTCGGCAAACTCATTAGTCAACAGAGCGGCAAACCGCCACAGTTTGCCGACTACTGCCCTATACACAATGGATTAGTGGACTACAACTGGTTGATGGTGTCCTGGACCCAGCTTCAGCATGGAAAGGAAACTAGACTCTGGCTTTGCTTCTAGCTTTCTGGAGGGATGTAATTCCACAGGAATAAAGCTTTCTACCATATCTCATCCTCCCACAGGGGCCTCCAGAAATGCCTATTCCATCAGTATCCCAAGAACCCCACTCCCACTGCTAACCCCGTTGGTTTAGATTCTTTGCCCCAAGACCTATCTTTTGGCTAGCACCTTTGGCTCAATAAAACCTTACTTACAAAAAGACTTTCAGCTGTGGTGTAACACGGTATAGAATATTTAAAACAACAACTCACATTTAATTAGCTAACTAGCCAAGAATTAAAAATAAGAATATACTAACAAAAAACTTACAGCCCAGGCCTTTCAGCTAGTGACCATGGGTCAGAGGAATTTGGGGCCACGGAGCTCCTAAGCAGAGCCGGGTCCTTCTCGAGATTTTATTCCCTCAAAGTTGCACCCAAAGTGAAAGCCACGACTGCCCCTGCAGGAGCGCCTGTACTTCCTCAGGACCTTGAGTTTACCAAATTACCAAATGGTT